AGAAGCGGGATCCTCTTTGTGTTGGCCACTTTTCCAAGTGTCCTGTCTTGGGAGCACATGAGCTAATTAGTGTTCTGGGCACAGCCTAGCTGCTCCAGGCAAGCTTTGGTCCAGCACTTTCCTAGCTCCATGCTCAAATCAACAAACAGCCCTTGCCCACAAGAGCTTTCTACATCTCTTGGTGATTCCCGACAAACAAAAAGATGGGCAAAGTAGAGAGGGCGATTGGCAAAAAACAAAAAAATTAAGAGTGTGTGGGAGGGAGAGGGAACTGGGATTGACATGTAAAACAAGCTATTTAAAATTAAAATAAAAAATGATAAAAAAAAATAAGAGTGTGGCCAGACTGGTGTTACATGACTATAATCCAGCACTGAGTTAGCAGAGGCAGGAGCACCATGGGTTCTAGTACAGCCTGGTCTACAAAGAAAGATGCTGAAAAAGAGGGTCTGCACTCTGGAGCACCGGACTGTCCACCTGTAATCCCAGTGTTTGGGAGGAGGAGTAGGGAGGATTCTGTCCTGGGAACATGCTACAAGAACCTGTCCCCACCCTATTCCCCCAAATAAAAACAAGTGAAAAATGGCTGCTGAGCCAACTTTAGTTCTAAAACAAGTTTGTAGAAGCCTGCTTTTCAGACAGATTTCTAACTAACGTGCCATGCACGAAGCGCCACTCCAGGAAAAACAGTGCCCTGTTTAACATACCAGAGACAGAATGCTAAAATGCAGAGCTCCTGGACTGACTTGTGTATGCCTCCTTCCAGAACTCACAATCTTTGGGCAGAGATGACGTTCAGAGATGTTATACTGGAGTTTCAAGAAAGGGAGGAAGGCATTCGTCAGCTCTGGGAAGGAAAAGGGCTGATAGCAAGGTGATACTCACAAAATCAGAAATACTCACATTTCTGTCACTATACATTGGGGGAGGGGTAATCATCTAGAATAGGCAAGATGGCTGAGCAAGTAAAATTGCTTGCCACCATGCCTGATGACATGTGCAGAACTCACGTTGTGGAGTCGATCCAGTAACCAGTCCTCTGACCACCCACCCACACCCACACCCAGAGCAATATATGTTAAATGTGTTAGACATGGAGGTGGCTCACCCCTAAACCCAGCCTGGGCAGATCAAGAATTCAAGGTCATATTTGGCTGTATAGTGAGTTCAAGGCCAGCTCGGATGATCAGTTTGTACTACCTGAAACCCTGTCTCAAAACACACACACACACACACACACACACACACAAGAAAACATAACAACCTCATCCAGGTGTGGTGGTACACCTCCATAATCCTAGAACTCAGGAAGCAGTGACAAGAGGAATGCCACATGTTCTGGGCAGTTAGTTTATACAAGAAGTCCAGGCCAGCCAAGGGCTAGACAGGATGGCATGAATACATCCCTCTAACTAAACACAACAGAAAAGTTTGACTAATCCAAAAATTAATTCTAAAATTAATTATGATGATCAGTAATAGGTATAGTTTGATTATCGTGGCATCTACAATCTCAATCATCAAAATTAAGAGACACCAAAAAAATTAAGTAAATCATTATTCCCTGTACCAATGATTTATTGTTGGTTGGCTACCAACCTTCATGTTTCCGCCTTCTGTAACCTGACTATTTGAGATATTGGTGCCAATACAATTCACGTAAGCATAGTGTTCCCTTTCTACCATTTCAGGGATTTCCTAGGCAATTCTAAAAATCAGTAGACAGGACACTCCTACAAACCTTAAATTTTCACCCAGTCAAATTCCTGTCAGGGATGAGTCCAACTTTTCTCTTCCTAAATAACTCTGCCAGCCCCTTCCCTTCAGTTCCCTCCCACATACGATAATGTTTCAATCAATCTCTAACACACTGTTGGGAAATGGCTACTCTGTTCAGGGTCCTAACGGGTCTTCCAGCTTCCTAGGTGTGTGGAGAGAAAAGAACACCCCCGGCAGTGCTCCGTGAGCCTGCAACCCCAGCACTAGGAAGGCAGAGGCCCACAGGGCAGGGTGGTCCACACCTTTAATCACAGCATGGGGGGGCAGCGTTTCCAACACCAACCACAGACAGGTGAACCCGAGTTCCAGGCCAGCCTGGTCTACAGAGTAAGCTCCAGGACAGCCAGGGCTACAGAGTCCTTGCCTTAAAAAAACTAAAACAAAAAGCAGGAAGGGCACCCCAGTCTGTCTCAGAAAACAACGAAAGCTGGGCAGCGGTGGTGCACACCACTAAACCAGCACTCCTGGCAAAGGCAGGTGGACCCGAGTTCACCAGTCTGGTCTACAGAGCAATTTAAGAACAGTAAGAGCTGCGGGACCCTGTTTCCAAAAGACCAAACAACAACAAAAGGCAGGTGAGGTGGAACACGCCTTTAATCCTAGCATTTGGGCAGCCTAGGCAGGTGGATCTCCATTAGTTCAAGGCCAGCCTGGTTAAATATCAAAGCTCCAGGCCCATCTATATAGTGAGACCTGTCTTTAAAAATAAACAGGAAAACATCTCTGGTAAAGTCCATAATGGAGTCGGGTGTTGGTGGGGCACGCCTTTAATCCCAGCACTCCAGAGCCAGATGCAGGCGGATCTGTGTGCTCCAGGCCAGCCTGGTCTACAGAGAGAGTTCCATGACAGCCTCCAAAACAAGAGAAACCCTGTCTCGAAAAATAAATAAGTAAGTAAATAAATAAATAAATAAATAAAGTCCATAATGGGTGAGGTCCTTAAGGAAGCCAACAGGCACATGTGTGTGTGCAATGCCTGTAACAGAAGTACCAGTCAGTTCTCTCACCCTGGATTCTGGGGATTAAACCACTAGGTTTGTTGACAAGAACCTTAACTGGTGGAGCCATTTAACCCGCCTGTAACAGATTTTTAAAGCTCTGGAACCATTGGTTGATTTCAATGCTCAGAAAACATTGGTTACCCAACTAGAAGGAACTGACATTTAATGATCACCTACTAAGTTACCAGTCCAGAGCTGGTCTGATATAAATGGGAATATAAAACAGTTTGAGCCGGGTGTTTGTGGGGTACGCCTTTAATCCCAGCACTCGGGAGGCAGAGGCAGGCCGGAATATCTGAGTTTGAGGCCAGCCTGGTCTACTGATCGAGTGCCAGGATGGGCTCCAAAGCTACACAGAGAAATCCTGTCTCGAAAAACAAGAAAACAAAACCAGTTTGAAGCCACACACACACACACACACACACACACACAGGGTTTTCTGTGTAACAGCCCTGGAACTCGATTTGCAGACCAGGCTGGCCTCAAAACTCAAGCGATCCATCCATCTGTCTCTGCCTCCTGAATGCCGGAGTTAAAAGTGCACCACCACCGAAAAGTGGTTAGATTTTTTTACATTTTTAAAATACTAATTTTGGGGCTGTGGATGTAACAATTGTTGTGGTGTTTGCCTAGCACAGCTGAAGCCCTGGTTTCCACCAAGCAGTACAAAAACCGGTTGAAGTGGTGTATATTTGTAATCCCAATTTGAGCGAAGGAAAATAGGAGTTCAAGGTCACCCAGGCCTACAAAACAAGTTTGAGGCAGCACAGGCGGAGACTGTCTCAGAAAGGAAAAATTCCTCCCAAATCCCAGTTATTCGGGGAAGCTGAGGTACTATGCGTGACAATACACTAAAACTGGGGGCTGGAGAGATGAATGGTTCAGGGGTTGCTCTGGCAGAGGACATGGGTTGGGTTCCCAGCACCCACGTGGTGGCTCACAATCATTTATTTGTAACTCCAGTTCCAGGGGATAAGGCCCTCCCGTTCTCCAGGAATACGAGGCATGCATGGGGTGCACATCCATATACAGACAAGCAGTCGAAACACATACACGGAAAATAAATAACTTTTTAAAAGCTATAGGGGTGGATGGTCACAAAAAGAGAGAAACCGCAGGTATGGAAGCGGAAAACAACCAAGAGCCTTGTCTTACTGTCTTGGGCATACCAAGCTTGCCACAAATCCTCTCGCCTCCGTTTCCTGAAGCCTTTAGCTTTCTGGCACCCTACCCTCTAACCCGTGACGTGTTAATTGTGGAAAAACATTCAAAAGCTACTTCTAAAAGTTAAAACGTTTCTGATTCCCAAATACTTAACCCTAATACAGAGCATCTTTGGCTGGCCTCCGCCTCCAAGTGTGCCACCTGAGTGATCAAACTTCTACTACAGTGAAAACTTTAAACAAAAATAAACAAAAAAAGACCCAAAACCCACAGAACTCAGAGGCTCCGGTCCCGGGGCACCAGGCCCTCACAACTCGGCCCAGCACAGTCCCCGCCACAGGCAGAGCCAAGCCTGCGTGGCAAATCTGTGTGTGACCGTGGCGGGGACAAGTCACGAGGAGGACGAGCGCCCCGGGCCGGCTCTGTCGCCCGCCAGGAAGGCCTCGCGCCAGCCGGGGTGCACACCCAGGGCGCCGCTGGGCCCGCCTCCAGCAGCCGGGCAGCGGGAACCCCGGAGCGCCGTGGAACAGCCCGGGAGGGCGCCGCGCCCCCTAGCGGCGGGGCTCGCCCCACCCCGCGCCCGGCAGCAGGCGGCCTCGCTCCCTCCGCAGCCTCCCGGGGCAGCGTCCCTCCGAGCGGCGGCTCTCCGGCCTCCCGCTCCCCGCCCCCTGCTCCCTCTGACACGCCGCACGATCCCCGCCACAGGCCGGCCGAGGGCGAGCGCCCCGGCGTCGCGCAGCTTCCCGGCGGCCCTGGCCGCTCCATCGCGGGCCCGGCGGGGGTGGAGAGCCGGCGCGCGGCGCGAGTGGGGCCGGCCTGGCGGCGGCGGCGCGGACCGTTCCACCGCGCGTTCCCCCCTCCTCCCTCCTTCCCTCCCTCCCCGGCCGCGGCGCGCGTGCTCCCGGAACGCCATGGAGTCGCGGCGTTCCGAGCGGGCACAAAGGGGCGCGCGGCACAATGGGCGCGGCGAGCCCGTGGGCGCCCGCTCCCCCCCCTCCCCAGCCGCACGGAGACAGCCAGCCGCTCCGCGGGCGGCCCGCGCCGGCCCGCACTCACCTGGGACGAGAGTTACTTTGCGGAGCGGGTCCGCGCCGAGTTCGGGCGCCACGTGCGGGGGGCGGGCGCGCGGGCCGCAGTGGGGGCCGAGCGCGCAGGGCCTGGCCGGGGCGGCCCCGCCGACTGGCTGGGGGCGGCGGGCGGGCGGGCGCCGTGTATTTTCCCCTCTCTTTGTGTGTGTCCGTGCGCTGCGCTCTCGCGTGACGTGACGGGACTCCGTGTGTCATTTCCGCACAAGGACACAGGAGCCCCCGCTGCAGTGGAACCTCAAGCCCTCCGCCCCCACCGCGCCGCCCCTCCCCCTCAGCGGGGCACACGCGGGACCGGCAGCGGCGCTCGGGCGTGAGCAGCCGCGGCGGGGAGCAGGGGCGCGCTGCGGGGCGGGCGCGCTCGGCCTGCGCCGTGCGGCTCCACGTGGGCCCGCGCCGGCTGCCGGCCGAGCACGGCGGCCCGCACCCACGGGAGAGCACCCCTCGGCATTCTCTGCTACGTGCTTTCGCGGCCCGAGCGTGGCCCCGATGCCTCTTTCTCTACTTTTTCTCCCCCCCCACCAACCACCGGGGCGGGGTGGAGGACGGAGCAGCGCGGCGTGTCTGCTCCTCCCGCATTCGGGGCGCTCGGCGGCGGGGCTGCACTCTCGCGCGGACCTTCCCGCGCCGCACCGGGCACAAAGGCTTCGGGGCGCGCTGCCACCCACCCCGATCCGCATGGAATCGTGGGGGGACGCTGGAGAGCGACCCGGACTCTGGGGCTCGCTGGCCCTGGCCACTCCCCCGGCGGGGTGGCCGCCCGAGCTCCGAGAGCCCAAGTTGTGCGGCTTTGAGGCTGCGGAGCGAAGCACGCGCTCCCGGACCCTCACGGCACAAACTCAGCCCCAGACGCGGAAAACAGGAAAACTCGCCAACTCGGTGAAAACCGACTTCTACACTAACCTCCCCGGCTCTAGAGTCCCAAGTTGATAAACATGAGACGGACCCCTCGCATTTTCCCAACTTTGGGGTATGGGGGTGGGCAGCGAGAGAGAAGCTCCAGTCAACGCTTAAACCGTGTGCGTAGTGTAGATAAATAATTACGTAAAATGTTTTTTAATCCTTTAATTCGCCGGTGGAAAAAATGTATAAAAAGAAAAATGCAAATGACCCCATCTGCTGCCCACAGCTGACTGGCTCGAGAGCGGACCATGTGGCCCTGCCGGCGCGGTCAGTGAATAGGTAGAATAGATTTTAAAAGGACGCACATGCTGGCTCCTAGCTACCCAGTCGCCGCTGAGAGGGTTGGAATTAACGTGAGGCCAGGGATTACCCTGTCTTCCAGACCACACCAATTGGGAATTCAGTCATTATGCAAGTTCCTCCCCTTCTGGTTTGAAATCTAATGGCGCAGACCTTTGAGGGACAGTGGAACGTTCTGGAGCTGTGTTTGGGTAGCAGACTTTGAGAAGTCAGTAGTAATTGCTATGCAAAATTAGCAGCCTGGAGAAAGGAGCCCAGCATCCTAGGGGTGCTTTCATAAGAGAATCTATACGTGCTCAGTGTCATTCAAAACAGGATGATGAAAAGAATGGAGCCAAGATAGCAGCTCTTCAAATTCAAAAGGCTTGGGTCGTCCTATCTACATTTAAAATAGGGCGGAGGGAGGGGGGATGGTTAATTTATACATTCCCAGGAGACAAAGTGGAAGCACTTGGATTTCCGTAGGGAACTTGACTTTTGCACTTGCGCGTTAAGTAGCACGTATGATACAGCACTTCACTTGGCTGCGTTAACAGATGCAGCAGCTTTATTCTCACCTTCAATTTAATGTGCAGAGTTTGAATTGTAAGAGGAGATGTTGCATTTCATTAGTTCAGTTTTCTAGGATTTATTTCCCAGGAGTCAGGAACAGTGGAAAGTAGCATTTAAGCTCTTTTTGCATTTAAACCACTTTGTTGTATTGCTTTAAGAGTGTAAAATGACCAGTTTTTAGAAAGAAATACAGAATGTATCTTTGGCCAGTCATTCACAGCTAGAACTCGGGTATCTAAGGAAAAGTCAGTGGAAATCATCACTTCTTTGTTCATAGTGTTAGAAACCTAAGTTCTTGTCAAATACAACTTTTTATTGTTTATTTATAGCATTCAAGGTAAATGGCTATCCTCAGTCGGCAAATCGAAGTTCAGAATACAGTAACAATGACTGCAGTGTTATTTTGACAGTACACTCTTACAGTAAGTTGTTTGTCCCGTGGTGGTGCACACACCTGAAGGCTTAAAAAAAAAAAAAAAGAAAAAAATTGTAGACCAAAGCAGGTGTGGTAATGTATACCTCTAGTCTGTATACTTAGGAGGCAGAGACAGGGCAGATCTGAGTTCAAGGCCAGCCTGGTCTACAAACAGCTCCAGGACATCCAAAGCTACACAGAGAAACCTTGTTTGGAGCTTGGTGTTGGTGGTGCACGCCTTTAGTCCCAGTACTTGAGAGGCAGAGGTAGGCAGATCTCTGTGAGTTCGAGGCCAGCCTGGTCTACAGAGCAAGTTCAGGACAGCCTCCAAAACAGAGGAACCCTATCTCTAAAAACCAAAAAGAAAAAGAAAAACAAACCATCCAGAATATTAAAAAAAAAAATCCAGTCTTGCATTTAACCCTGGCACTCAAAAGTGGGTAAGTTAAGGCCAGCCTGTGCTACATTCATAGCCATCTTGGCTATGAGAGTTTGTCTGAAAAAAAAAAAAACCTTAAAGTAAAAAAAAAATTACCTAATTTCTGGAGTATCTGCTTGATTAAAAAAAAAGATTTTCTTTTGTATGTGTTAGGCTGTATCAAAGTACCAAGTGCATGCAGTGCCCACAGACACCAGAAGGGGGGGTTAGATCCCCTGGTACTGGAGTTACAGACCATTGTGAACTGCCTTGTAGGTGCTTTACCAGCTGCAACACCACCCCCCTTTTTTTTTTTTTTTTTGAGACATGGCCTCATTGTGTATCTCTGTCTGGCCTGGAACTGTAGACCAGGCTGCCTCCGCCTCAAGAATGCTTGGATCAAAAGTGTAGGCCACCTCACCTAGAAATATGAAAATTTTAATCTAGAAAGTGTTTTGTTGCCAGGACTTGGTGGCACATGCCTTTAATCCCAGCACTCGGGATGCAGTTGGGAGGCAGAGGCAGGTGGATCTCTGTGAGCTGAAGGCCAACATGGTCTACAGAACTAGTTCCAGGACAGCCAGGGCTGTTACACAGAGAAACCCTGTCTTGGGAAGAAAAAAAAAGGAAAGAAAAATTATGAAATAAAATAATTTCAGAACAGACTCGGCTGGGCATGGTGCCACACAACTTTAATCCCAGAAGCAGAGGCAAATGGATCTACATGGTGAGTTCAAGGATAGTCAGGCTTCTGTTAGGGAGATCCTGTATCAAACAAAACAAAACCCAGACTCAAATGAAAGCTCAAGGACAATTTCACTAGAGTTTAAGAGAAAAACAGCAGGGCAGGAAAGTTGTAAATTTAGGCAGCCGTCTAGAGAGGAGAAAAGGAGGAAACATTCATGCCACTGAAGCTGGCACCGAGGTCAGCCACATGGCAGACACACAGCCATGCACTGGAAGGGTAGTTTTCAAGAAAACAAAGAGGCTCTGCATGTCAGCAACAGTAAACTTGCTTGACAGAAAGAGGAAAAACTGCACCTTCCCAAGTCAGGGTCAAAAAGTTGGACAGAACCAGTGGCCCTCAATGCAACCTCACAGTAGACTGTGGGGTCTGCAGGAGGGGACAGGGATCAGGAGAAGGGAAAGTACAGTATCTCAGGTATACAGGTATAATTATTCCACCTACTGTAGCATGGCTTAGGGTGGGCCTGCCTACCCAGGGGCACACCTTCCTGAGGTTTGATTTCTTGGCTAGGTGATTGACGAACCCACCTGGAATGTTAGGTCTCCACCCAGGCCAGAAACTCTAGCCTATTGACCAGGAGACTTTATTGATAGGCAGACATCAGGACTCTATGTGTTAGGCACACACTTTACTAATGAATTACACTTCCTGCCACCAAAATGAGATGAAAAAAAGAAAGCTACAGAAAAAAAAAAAACTCACCTGGGCACTTTTTTCTGACTAGGAAAAAAGTATTTGCTGCTTTATAAGAGTGTGAGATTTTAAGCACCTAGCACAGCTATTGGGCTCTGCTTTTAATTGATTCCTCATTAACATAGTGGGATTCTCCAAGGTTAAACACTATCAAGAATAAACACTGCTGTAGTCCGGCTCAGTTTCAAGCCCTTGAGAAAACAAGTGGCAATCCAAACAGGAACTCACTCTGAGCCCAGAGTGCTGCCTGGAGGCATTATAGCAAACGAGGCCCCTGAGCCCAGAGAGATGCCCAAGGACCTGCAGGCAGGCTCCCTTACACTGATCACAGCTGCAAGGACAGGAGCCCAAGGATGACGGCTTTCTTGCCAATCAAATGCTCATAAAAGGTGGGGGGTGAAAGAAGACATGTGCAAAGTGATTGGTAGGACTTTAGGTTGTTTGCTTGTTGAGACATTGTTGCTATATAGCTCTGCTGGCACCCTGGGATTTGCAATGCACCCAAAACTGCCCTCAAATTCAAGCTGAGATTATCTGACTCAAGTGGAACAATTTTCCCCCTTTGGTTGGTTTTGTTTTTTGTTTTTTGTTTTTTTGTTTTTCGAGACAGGGTTTCTCTGTATTGTTTTGGAGGTTGTCCTGGAACTCGCTCTGGAGACCAGGCTGACCTCGAACTCACAGAGATCCACCTACCTCTGCCTCCCGAGTGCTGGGATTAAAGGCGTGCACCACCAACACCTGGCGCCTTGAACTTCTGATCCTGCTTCCTGCACCACCCAAGTGCTGGAATTATTTTGTGTACTACCAATGCTGCCCATGCCAACTTTTTTTTTTTTTAAGTTACTTAAGCAGGCTCTGGTGGCACATGCCTGAACTCCTAGTTCTGCTGAGGCAGAAGCATCGTTTGAGATCAAACTAACAACATAGTGAGTGCATTAATGGATAAATGGTAGGTAGGTAGGTAGGTAGGTAGATAGTGTTTATGTTTCATGTGCTTGCACACACATGCAGCAGCTGTATGTGTAGAGGTC